TAAAATTTATAGTCTAGGAAAACCTAATAATTTTTGATATCAAAAATATAAAATACAAAATAAATGTTTTCAGTCATTTATTTATTTTCTTTTTAGATAACTCCGGTCCAAGCCAGGTGACACTAGTCGCAGCTTCTTCGCCACTTCCTTGGCCAAGTGAGCCAATAAATGTAAAGGCAAATAATGAAGGAAAGGGACGGAAAAGAAAGAAAAATATAGACAACTGGAAGAAAAGTAAAAGGCGGCATTTAATAAACAGTGGCCTCTCCTATCAATCAGCCAAAGGTAAGGTAGTGTCACAAAAGTGCTTTATAAACACCACAATGTCACTGTAAAAAAAAAGTATTGAAAAATTCACAGAGGAAGAAAGAAAACGAATCTTTGAATCATTTTAAAAGCTAGAAGATTTCAGTAAGCAAAATGTGTATATAAGAAGTTCGGTCTTGACTCGCGCCGTAAAAAGGAAGCGAATAAGAGACAGAAGTGATATTGAAAACTATGTATCCTACTCCTACATTTTAAGAGATGGTGCTAATTCTCAAACGGTGTGCAAGAAGTTTTTTCTTAAAACTCTTTAGCTTAGTCATGGCAGAGTTTACAGGTGGATATCAAAGCCTCAAGTTCATGCCGTCATTGATTGGCGTGGTAAAAATGCTCCAATTAATAAACTTGATGATTCTGAAGTAGTGTCACATATAAACTCTATTCCAGCTTATCAAAACCACTATAGTGGGAGAAAATCCAGAAAGTATCTACATCCGGATTTAAATATTAGAAAACTATGATTTATACGTTGAAAACAAAAGTTTTACTTTTATATTTTTTCTACCCAGATTAACTAGCATTTTAAAGTTCCTGCAAAGGATACATGTAGTCGATGTGACAAACTTCAATTGAAAATATTAGGTTAGAAAAATGACCCAAAACGACGTGGCAAATTTGAATTCGAAAAGAACATGCACTTGGCTAAAGGTTTGCAAGCTAGGGAATCTCTTAAAAATGACAAAGCTGCTGCATCAGACACATGCTATGTTGCAACATTTGATCTACAAAAGGCTCTCCCATATCCCCAATTGACTACTTCCCTAGCATACTTTAAAAGAAATATGTACGTTTACAATTTCGGAATCCATTATTTTAATAATAATAATGGGTACATGCATTTCTCGGACGAAATAGAAGGAGGGAGGGGATCTCAAGAAGTAGCATCTAGGCTGGCTAAACACATTAGACAAGAGGCTTAAAACCACAAACATGTTATTCTCTACTCTGACTCTTGCACTGGTCAAAACAGAAATATTAAAGTTGCTTCTACCTTAATGAACTTCGTCCTTGATCCTCAGTTAAGCATTAAAACAATCGATCATAAATTTTTGGTTTCTGGTCATTCGTTTTTATCTGATAACCAAGATTTTGGAGTGATAGAATCAGCATCCCGGAATTGTATTCAGATATTTACACCTGAAGATTGGATGCATGTAGCCAAGACTGCCTTTCGTGGTCATCAAAGTAACAACACCAGAAATTTTAGCTATCAAGAAACTTGAAAACATAATAGTCAACAGAAAAAAAAAAACGGACGATGGTGATCCTATAAAGTGGTTAGAGATAAGATGGATGAGGTATAAGCGGGAGAGACCCTGGATACTGCAGTTTAAAAATTATTTAAACAAAGATTTCGACTTCTTGAAAGTAAACATGTCTAAGAAAATTTCTCATTTTATTGAAAAGCAAGACCCGTTATACACAACTGAGAGAGTGGTCAGTGAGGCAAAGAACAAGGACATTCTTAGTCTTTTACCATTTCTACCCTCAAATACCCACACCCACTATAAAAATATTCGAACAGAAAGTTTTACAAGGTCACAAACTTCCCAGAAAACGGACGAAGAACCAGGTTATGACGAACCAGGTTTTGATAACAGCATTTAAAGTGAAATTTTAAAACTTTTTTTATATTAACTTGTGAACTGGTTATTAAAACATAATAAAATGTTAGATGCTTAGTGTATTGTATTCATTTGATTGACCTTATAAAAAAAACAAAAATCCGAACCAAAGTGGATCAAGTCCAGTAATAATAAGATTTACAATTAAATTAACACTTAAAATATTTTTTTTAATTTTTAAATTATGACTTATATTTAAGTTAGTGTTCGCACTATAGCTATAAAGAAAAATTAATTTTTAAAACACTTTTGTGTTCAACTAGTCTTATCTAAACTTTAACCTTCATTATCTCAGAACTATAATTTATGGACTTGATCCACTTTAGCCCTGAGCGCCTTAGATATCGAACGGTTCATTCTACAGAAAAAGTGCTAATAAATATTTATCTTCAGAAATATTTTAGCTACTTTTTTGATTTTTAAAATATTTTTTTCTACGGCGTACAAATCTTGGTAAATCGGTATTTTCCGTCTTATTTTCTTCCTAAGAGGGGGGGGGGGAGAGTCGCGGGAAAAGTGGTTTTTTTTGCATATTTTTCGGAATCCTTAAATTAATATTGTCTACTTCTTCTAAGGGTGCCTATCTGTTCCGAACATTGGCGATCATTTTGGCTATGACGACTTTGTTGGTTGCTATACAGAATAGCTGTATTGAGGTCTTTCTACACCATGCTCTCAGGTTAGCAAGTCAAGATATTCTTCTTCGTCCTCGGGCTTCTTTTCTTTGCACACCTTGCATAATGCACTCAGCTTGTTCGTATGATTTTTAGAGTTTCAGTGGCATTTTCGTCTCTGACTACTGGTGTATCGCAGCGTCTCTCACTCGTCTTTTTTATATTTTTATGTACTTTTAGATATTGTCTTTTTGTGTCATGTATTTCAGCATTATACGCTAATACAGGAATTAGATCCAAATTTAAAACTTCTCTTTTCACACATATGGGAGTATTATATATGAGAGTATTAAAGCACCATCTTAGAACAAGGCAATTTTAATGACAAAAGATAAAAAAATAAAGTAGAACAGATTCTGACTGTAGTGAGATAATGGACTTTAAATTTTAAGATTTAAAATTAGCTCCCAGAATTTCAAAATTATAAAATTTATCAGAAAAAAGAATTTAGAGGGACTATGTGCTTTGTCCTTTAACCTTGAATAATACAAATGTAAACCTGTTGAGTATAATAAAGCACCTTGAGGTAATATCGGACTTAATGCTTTCCTGGAATTAGTAAGAATAACCAACATAACGCTGACTACGTTAAGTGTAGCTAGATACTCTCATTGGAAAATGTGATGTTTAAAATCGGACAGTGTATATTGGATTTAGAATATGAAGGTAAAATCACTAATTGCATAGGCATAACTGTTACGGTAAATAATTATGTAGCAAAAAGGTGTCGTCATCAAACTAAAGAAGGTGCAAAAACTTTACTCCCATGATTACACTGATTCTGAGCAGCTTTGAAGGTCTAACTAATTTATCTTCCTCTTTATATCATAACAAAAGGGAAGGTGTAAAGGTGGCATTATAGACTATGGGACGTAGTGGATAGAGCAGGACAAAGTAACATCATAAATAAAATCGGGTATACTATATTAATGATGAACTTTGACCATATGGTACTAAGACCATCTTTGACCATATAAATATAGAATATTTTCAAGTGGACATCTAATATAGGGTAAAGAAAATATATATCCCATACCGCACGGTTATACCTGATTTACAGACGGGTCTTAAACGACGATAGGATCGGGTATGGAAATATTTAGTAGGTGAGACATTGTTAACATTTCTATATTCGTAAGAGAATATACCTTTAGGTAATACCTAGGTAATAACTAATGTAATGTGGCTTTGTGTACGAAAAATTATCATGAGGAATTTCAAACTGAAGTCGTTAAATATATACACTATAGTCACGTAACTATGGCAGCTGTTAGAAGCCCTAGATTCTAGAATAGTGTAGCGATGCTGAGAACTGGCGAAACTTAACAATGTCACACTAGTATAATTGCCAGGTCATCAAGGCATATACTGAAATAAACTTGCTGATAAACTTGACAGAAGAAAATCAGCTACAAGATACTTTGATCCAGAGTGCCTATAGGAAAGCACTATTTGTCTGGATACAATATAACTGTCACTTTAAAAGAATGCCCAGTAAAAGTAGAAAACTAGAAAACCAAAAAATCTAGAACCAAACAGAAATAATTTGTCTAGTAGATAAAATTGTATAAACTAAAATACCACATAATATAGACAAATAAAAATAGTAATGGGTGCGATAAAAAACAGACAAAAGACCGTGTGGAGTTTTTCTCCCAATCTGAGAGTCTGTCTCCCATCGGACGCCTCCCCAGGTGCTGGATAGGAAAACGCTCTGACGGTCCTAGGACCGGTGGGTAGCTGGTAAATAAAAAATACCAACCGCTAACCAAAACAGACTAAGGTATGCCAACCCTAAGAGAAGAGTCTCTGGCCCTCCCGTTTAGGAGTTGGGCTAGAGGCCGACAAAATCTTCCTGTAAAAAAGCATTTGTTACGAAACCTCAGGAACTATTAGCTGGACGGAACTCACGACGACGACTCTGCAAACAAAAAATGGAATTGAGATTAGGAACATGGAAAACCCGAATCCCGTACCAAACTGGAGCACTCTCAGAATATAGCTCTATATTCAGGTAATAATTTATGCAATGTGGCATTGTGTATAAAATATTATCATGGAATATTTCAAACCGAAGTAAATAAATAAATAACCTACGGTTAAGTGACTATGGGAGCTCTTAAAAGTCCTAGTGCCTAGGATAGTGTTGCCATGCAATAATTACATTTACAATAATATATTGCAGGTAAGATAGGAAAATGGATGGAATTTGCTACGGTAGCTAATCTCCTTTAATGGACTGAGCAACGAAGAAGAAGACAAAATAATATTTAAATACCTAAACAAAAAATCTGTATTGGGTTTGTTTTCATATTATTAAAAAATATTTCGAAAGTAAAAAATATTAATTAATAATAAACGCCAACTAATAAAAAAGATGAAAACATTATTGTATTTTAATTTTTATTACAAGTATTTGTGTGTAAATTATTCAATAAGTGTAGCTTTATTCCTTCCCTCTTATTTCTCGTTTTTCTTCATTAAGCATTTCAACACGTTAAATGCAGTTTCATTGGCATCTGCTCCCTTGTTCTTTGTACACTCAGCAACAATTTCACTAGCCTTAGCCTCATCCTTTTCCCAATGGCTGACATCATCCTTAAGAACAGTTAGGTTTATGTCGCCATTTTCATTTTGTACTCCAGTTTTCTTGTTGATGCAAAATATCGTTGCGCCTACTTTGGCGACATCGGCATTGTCTTGCAAAACCAGTTTTCTTGGATCATTTGGACCGCCTGACTCGCCACTAACGCATTCGTGGAATGCAGTTCTGAGCTGCTCTCTACGTTCTACAGCCTAAAAGAAATTTATTTCAGATTTGTTAGGATTGTATTTAGTATTTATATTTACTACAGTAAAAAATATGTTACGGTGAATTTAGTTAATTGCCAAATTCGGTAGTGGACCTTGACCGAATTATACAAGAATGAACTGAAAGAGCTATTAACTTATTTCAAAAATGTATGAATTGTCATTAAACTGACGTTGTATCCCTAAAGTTTCTCTGGAAGGTAAAAGGAGATGAATAGTCAAAATAAGAATAAGCATAGTAGGTAAATATTTGTATAACTTATATTTACATAATATCAAGTTCCACAAAAATATCCACTGTATTGATGTAAAAACCATTACATCATCATCCAATCATCATCATCATCATCATCATCATCATCATCATCATCATCATCATCATCATCATCATCATCATTCAGCCTTCATTTATCACGTCCACTGCTCGACATAGGCCTCCCTTAAACTCCTTCATTCTTTGCGATTTTGTGCTCTTTGTTGCAAATTTTTTGTGATACGCCTGATGTCGTCAGCCCAACGTGTAGGTGGTCTTCCTCTACTACGTTTAGTCTGCTCTTGACCTTCAATGTATAATTTGACTCGTCCATCATAAGTCATGCATTCTCGCTACATGGCCTGCTCAATTCCATTTAAGTTCCGCTATGCGTTCCACAACATTAGCAATACTCCTCCTCCTTCGCAGATCTTCGTTTCTTATTCGGTCCCGCAACGTCACTCGTGCCACTCTTAATTTCGAAGCCGTAGTATTGGTTAGAGTCATAGTTTCAGCCCCATAGGTCATAGCCGGTAATACGCATTGGTCAAATACTTTTCTCTTTTGAAGCTAATTGGTATGTTGGCCCTAAGTATGTCTCGCAGTTTTCCAAAGGCTGCCCAGTAATTCGTTTTTGGATTTCGCATGTTTGGTTATCCCTGCTGATTCTTATTTCGTGACCCAAATACGTATATTTTTTCATCAGTTCTATTACTTTGTTTTGAATAGTTAAATGGCTATTCGGGACCGTATTTGTCATAAACTTGGTTTAGGACAAGTTTATTCTGAGACCCACCTTCGAACATGCAAAGTCCAATTTATTTAACATACCTATACTATTCACTATACCTATGGTCAATCCTGCTGACATTCATTGTTTCTATAAGGCTGATTTTGATCGTGTAGAACGCTTTATGAAAATCTATCAAAGTGAGGATAAGAGGTTTGTTGTATTCTATAGATTTTTCAATGAGCGTCTTTACTGTATGAAGGTGATTATTGGTACCATTATTTGATCGAAATCCTGCCTGCTCTCGCAGGCAGGATAGAAAATGGTAGAAGGCTGGTAGAAATCTAATTTTCTCTTCAATCTTAATATCGCTAATCTAGTAAAGAGCTTGTATATGTGGTTCAACAGGCTAATAAGTTTATAACTCTCTAGGTCCGTTCTATCTCCTTTTTGAATTCTTTGGGCACCTCTCTTTGCTGCAAGCATGGATTAAACAGTTTCCTTAATTGATTTAATAGCAAATCTTCCCCATTTACGATAGCTTCTATTACAATTCCATCCTCTCCTAGAGCTTTGTTAATTTTCATTATTCTTAACGCTTGTCGAATCTAATCTACATTTATTTCTGGCATTAGTTTGGAACCTTGATTCATGATCTTTTTTGAAATGGCTGTTTGTATTCCTGTTTGATCTTCTCGTCTACTTCCATATAATTATTCATAGAACTCTTCGACAACTTGTATTAACTCGTCTCTAAGTGATACTATTTCATTTTGCTTGTTTCTTAATTTATGAATTTCGCATTTCCCATTCGTTAGCTTTCTTCGTAGAACTTTTAAGCTGTTATTTTTCTATATAGTTTACATTTAATATTATCGGTTTTAAATTTTCTTAAATCTATCCTGATTGCATTCGAAACAGTTTTTTTCATTTCTCTTAGAGTGTGGCTGCCTGCATTCCTATCGTATCTCATTTGTCTTCTTTGATCTAGCAGCGTTTTAATATATGGACTTATTTACTATCTGATTCTATTTTAGGACAGTGCACTCGGTGACTTTCTTGTAAGGCGTTTATGATGAAATTATTCAAGTCGTTAAGATCGTCTCGGAGATTTCGTGCTGTAGTAACTTATTATTGATATGTGCCTGATATTGGTTGATATCTAATGGGTGTGTCCTCCAGATACCATGAGATTTATTTTTATCATTATGTTTCTTTCTCTTTTTGTGTTGATTTGGACTTCCGCTCGTACCATTCTGTGGTCACGGCTTGTGGTGAACTTGATGAGTATTGTTAAATCTTTAATTATTTGTTTTTTGTCACTTATGATGTAGTTAATTTCGTTCGTTGTTCTACCGTTTGGACTTTCCCAGGTCCATCTTCTGTGGATTTTTTTGTAAAAGAAGCTGTTCATGTTGAATAAACAATATATTAGTAGGAATCCTAGTAGCGTTTCTCCTCTGTCATTTCTTCCTGGGGAATTGAATTGTCCCAAGGATGTTTCTAGCTCTGCTTTTTTTAAAACTATTTTTTCGTTGAAATCGCCACATACATTTGTAAATTGAGTACGAGAATCAATAAAGGCAGTAGATATATTGTCATAAAATATTTCGATTTCTTCGTCTGTATGGTCTGTTGTTGGAGCGTATACTTGGATAATTTTGAGTTGATATCTACTGTTCAACTTCAGAATAAGATATGCCACTCTGGATGTTATACTGTGGATGTTTATTATCTTGTTAGCGTGGTTTTTATGCACAAAGAAACCGATGCATCCAACTGATGTAGTTCTTTAGTCCTTGAAATTAAAGAAAAGAATAGTGATACTCTTCGGAACAAAAATAATCATGTGTTTTGTTAAATTTCAAAAATTTAATGAGCGAAATAATGGTGATTCTGGAGTGTAAAAATATCGCGACTTAAAATCACTATAGAATGTGTTCAAAAGCACCTCCAAATATTTTAACTCTTAATCTACAGGGTGAATTTTAAATATTGATGTCCTTAATTATCTTGGGAACGGCTAACATGATTTCTATAGATTTTGCTGTACAGGCTTACATAATTAACTTTCTTATTTTAAATCTGTATATGTTTTGCCTTTTAAAGTCCTTAAGAAATACTGATTATTTTTATATAATGTTTTCTATACCTAAATACCATAATTTTAAAGTTATTGCTACATTTACTATATCTTCACGCCGAAGTTAAAGTAATATATTTAGATGAATAAACTTCAATAATTGAATAATCTTTAATAATTTATATCCTAATAATATCATAATAACGCCTAATGACAATAAACTAGTAAAATCTTTAACGAAACTAGTACAGTAAAAGAACTAGTCAAATCATAGAGCAGAAAACCTACAGCAGCTGAAATCATATAAACAACTTCAATACAACAAGCCATGTATTTTCTAAAACTTTTAAACATATTTTACACATCCCTTATTACTCAAATCTTCTTATCTCTGTACTAATCGTATCTTCTAATTCTTAAGTATTGGCAGGTTTTGTTTTATATATCTACAATGTTCTAACTGTGATGCTACATATCTAAGTAGAACCTGTAGATCATTGTGGTCACGTTCTCTCGAGCATCTCTCTCTCTTCAATCCTGACCCCCCAGGGGAAATGTAGTGGTCGACGTGATGTTGTGCATTGTCCGTCTCCAGAGATCTCTGTCTCTGGTTATTTCTTTTAATACAGGAATATGCCAAAGACCTATGCATAAGTCTTTGGCATATTCCTGTAATTTGATCTATCCATCTTGTTGGGGATCTTCCTCGTTATCTTCGGCCTTGTATTATTAGTCTTTCCATGTTTTCTGTGTTTGCTCTCATAACATGCCAAAAATATTTTAATTGTTGGAGATGGACTTTACTAGAGAGTCGTTGGCTAACTTTTAGCTCTCTTAAAATTTAATTATTTGTTCTACGGTCGGTCCAAGAAATTCGTAACATTCGTCTCCAACAAAACATTTCAGTGGCGTCTATCTTTTTTCTCTCCGATTGTCGCAGAGTACAAGATTCACATCCGTAGGTCAGTATTGGGAATATTAAGCAGTTGATCAACCTCATCTTTATCGGTTTTGAAATTTGACAGTCCTTCCATATTTTGGTCATTTTTGCTGTAGTAACTTTTGCTAGATCACATCCACGTTTAATCTCTTCTTGTAATGACCCTGTGTTTGTAATTAATGATCCCAGATATAAGTATGAGCTAACAACCTCGAACCGGTCAATTGTGGTTATGTGTGGATGATTGTTGTGTAGTCTATCCACTATCATGATCTTTGTCTTTAATATGTTTAATTGCAGACCAAATATTTGACTTTCGTTTTCGATCAGTCGTATAAGTTCCATCAGTTCTGCTTGACTATTTGCAAGAAGGGATGTGTCATCTGCGAAACGTAGGTTGTTTGTTTTATGACCATTTATTGAGATGCCCTTTTTCCATCCTTCAAGTTCTCTTCGCATAATATACTCCCCATATATGTTGAATAATTGTGGAGATAGTATACATCCTTGTCTGACACCCCGTTCTGGATGAAACGCGTTCAAAAGTGTGTCAAGTACTTTAACTGATCCAGTAGTGTGTTCATATAGTTCAGTTATAAGCGTAATTAGATGTTATGGTACGCCTACTTCTTTTAGTATTCGCCATAAGTGTCTCCACTTGACCCTGTCGAACGCTTTACGGTAATCTATGAAACAGATGTATAGTGGGATGTTGAATTCCCTAGATTTCTCGATTATCTGTCTTATATTCAGCAGGTGTTTTCGAGTGCCTCTACCTTTGGTAAATCCAGTTTTCTCTTGTGGAATTTCTCTTTGGAGGAATGTTTTCAGTCTCTCATTGATTATATGTAGCATTATCTTGCTGGCATGGGATATAAGAGAGATAGTTCTATATTTGTCGCATTTATGGAAGCTGCCTTTTTTATATATGGTCGTTATTGTAGATTTTGTCCAGTCTTGAGGCCATTGTTTGGAATGAAATATTTGGTTACAAAGTAGATGAAGTAACTTTACGCCGGTTTCTTCTGTGGCTTTAAGCATTTCTGCTGTTATCATATCTGGACCTGGTGCTTTGTTATATTTGAGCTTGTTGATAGCCTGTCTTACTTCATTTTCGAGTATATCAGGTTCTTCTTCCACCTCGTCAGAGATTTAGCTAACAAGCTCTTGGTGTTGATCATCTTTATATAGGTCCCTGCGATACGATCTCCATGTCTCTGCTATGTCTTCTCTGTTTGTTCTCAGGGTTCCAGTGTTATCTTCAATGGCCCAATTTCTGGCTCTGAAGTCTCTTGTCAGGTGGCGTATTTTTCTAAATAGATCTCTCGGCTGATTATTCTGACCATGTCTCTCAATTTCTTTGCATATACTTTGATAGTACAGTTTTTTTTCGGCCTTACATCTTCGAGCATACTAAAAGAGAAATTACTTCCACTTTCTCTCAGCCTTTTAAACAACATAACTCACAACGCACTCTTAACATCCCATAACATGTTATTCTCTTACCCAACATTTTGCAAAAATACTTTTTAAGAAACTCAAAACTTCCGCAGAAAAACTTGAAACTTATATCAAGGCTTGGACATAATAAAAGAAAAGCAAAAAATTCCTAACTCCGTTAATCGTCATGTTCATTCCACCGAGATTTTCTTCCTTACCACCGTCAACTATCTTCATGACTCATATTATATAACTTAGCTATCCAACCGTTTCGTCTTTGATTTTTCACAGATCCTTTCATCTTCTTAACTTTATACATAATAAGTTCATATATAAAATCATTCGTCAAACTCCACCCCATATCTTCTCAACCTGCCTTGCTCTTTACGCCTAATGGTGCTGCGATCCGTTCCCAATCAGTTAATTGTCAACAATTTATCAATTTCTCCATATCCACATAACTTCATACTAACCCCATTCACATTTTTTCTTACACATACACTTATTTGATTCCATTTGTTTAAGGTCCGATCACACAAGATCACTTTACTTCCCCTTTTGCAGAACTTTACAGTTACTCCAAAGTATTTTCACCACTAACACCATTGAATATATTTAAAATACTTTTCAGATTCCAAATATCTTTTACCTTATAGAGCCTTATTAGCATTATGCTTACTTTTTTCAAGTTATTAATTAACATTACCAGTAACACAATGTTACATACTCGTAGTCATATCTTGACCTTACAACACTACAGTTACATCTGATATAATTACATCATAACTAGGATAACTACTATATCCCCAGTCATGATTATAACATATGTCCATAGCATACCTTTCACAAATCCTTCAGTGTTTTGCAGCTGGAGCCCTGCAGATCTTTGTCTCATTTCGTTATTGTTTTCACTGTTTACACCAATAAGAAATAATTGCTATTTTAATGGAAATAAACCAATATTTAAATTAGTTCTTACATCATATCAATTTTTTTCTGCTCTACATTTTGTTTAGCCATATACTTTTTATTTTAATTTAAAACTCCATACAAAACCACGAAAAACTTTTCCAACTCCCAGATAATATTTTTCAACATGAGATATTTCAACAAACTGATTAGTATTTCGTAAAGAAATCAAAAAGCAAAAATTATACATGACGATCCATGTGAAAAATAAATCTTATTATATTTACAAAAAAACTGAAGATCTGACAACAATCTCAACAACAATGCATAATATCAGCCACATCAGCAGACCCTTACCAACCAAAATCTATAAAATGAAAATCGTGCAAGCCGTTTACGAAAAAATGAACGTGTTGCAAACTCACCCTGTAGATTAAGAATGCATTATAAAAAAGGCCATAATTTTTGTTTTTCAAAAAGGTTTGTGGGACTTTTAAATCGCGACATTTTTAAACTTTAAAATCGCCATTGTTTCGCTCATTGAATTTTTAAAATTTTTCAAAAAAGACATGATTACTTTCGTTTAGTTTTTTTTTCTTTATTTTCCGATTTTTTCCTTCAGTTTTAATAACTATGAATCAAAAAAAAGGATCCAAAGAGTCAAATTTCACATTAAATGATTTTGGCATAAAAAAGTGGATATTATTTATGTAGTTCGACATATAGTATATATGAAGTAACAAGTGTTAGACTGTACATCAGGTAAACTGCAAATTAAAGCTTATTGAAAGCCATTTAACGATGTCAGGAATAACCTTTGAACTCTTTACATAGAGAAAATACAATAAAATAAAGGTAGACGATAGAATTCATTTTTAATTGAGCTCTACCATACTCCTACACGTGTTTTGAGGTTTCACCTGCCCTAAGAGAGTCTTGTGATAGCTCTAGCTAAAATAAAATAATATTTTCTTTTTATATTACAGAAAACATATGTTTTCGTTTATCGTTTAACAATAAACTAGAAGACCGGCTAAAGACCCTGCAAACAAAATATAAAGACCTAAACAATAACTACACCACAAATGTTGAAGATTACGATATCCTACTAACAGGGAATAATAGCCTAATTTAAAAGTGTAAAAAGCATGAAGCAATAATAGACAGACTAAGTATCACAATCACAAACGTGAATAAGCATATAGAAAAACTAATAGCAGATAATGATAGGACAAACTGAGAAGTATAAAGAACAATAAGCGAGAATAAAGAGTTAAACTACAAACAAACAAAAACAGAACTAGAAGCAAAGTACGAGAAAAAAGCAAACCAAATACATTTTAACTCAAACCGAAGCATCCTCAAAGTTACTAAAGACATTTACCTCTGTTGTTTCAAACTCTACAAACCACAGATATGGGCATACTCATATATAAAACAGAACTATAACAACTAAAGAAAAAAATAATGTCCGAAAATTCATAAAAAAAAGTGGACATTATCGCCATAGACAACATCAGAGCTTAAGTAAAAGTGACAATAGGAGACAAAGTAAAAGATATAATAAAAAGCTCTAAGTGCAATAGAAGCATTTATGAAGGCTTACTTACATATGGTACTAGTCAAATTTATATCCTAAATCATAATAAATTTAGTATAAGTGTATTTTCTTATTTTAAACACCGGAAAATCACAAAACATCGATAAATTAAAGAAATACATAATAGAGAATAAATAAACTCCATATAGTAAACTTTATTACGTTCAAAACGTTAAATAATTAGTAGATGATAAACGTAAAAAGTGATGTCATAATATTTATATCAAAAGGTATTAAAAATATCTTACCAGAACAACAGCTACAAGAAGTGTAAGAACAACTAAGAACTTCATGTTAAATCATTTAATTAACATCAGTTATCTCATACTTGTCCTTTTATATGTACATTTATCATTGACTTCTCGCCTCAAAAAAATATTTTAAAAAAGAGATTATATAATGAAATGAATCAATATTTACAGTTTCTATAAACTTATAAAAATGTTTCAGCGATCGTATCTATTAAATAATAACCTTTATAACCCTTGTTTTTTATATTTATCGTGTAGAATTTTCCAATTATGGCCTATCTTTACTTTGTATATACATGCAATAAACTTAAGTTATTTGCAAAATATGACAATCTGACTTACGAAAAATATGCAAAAATGGAATTTAACTTTGAGTTTTTCGTTTGTTTTAATACTGTTTCTGCATGTATTTTAAGTCCAAAAAAACACCCTCTGCTTAAGTACCAAATTTTTTGATTTTATTGATTGTTTGAATGCTTATAGCTGATTTTTTCCTAATAATATCTAAGGATTATAATAATATACTTAAATGATCTATATACGCAAGCATAAATCACAAATGTCAGACATATACCAAACGAAGATAATATCATTCGTTCTTATATATATATATATATATATATATATATATATATATATATATATATATATATATATATATATATATATATATATATATATAAACATAACAGGAAGTAAAAGTGAACATACGAATACAAATGTGAATGACCAAAGATTGATTACATTCGCAATTAAAAACGAAGAATATACAAGAAACCTACGATAAACAAGATACTACTACTGTAAGTCACACACAACAAAAGTTCTGGAAAATGACAAACACTAAAGAAAGCAACGTCGCAGAACAAACTAAGAACAAAAATATTTAGAAAAAACCACTGGTTGGACGACGAATGTAGAACAGAGTCAAAAAAGATCAGATTTGAGATTAAAAAGTTTACGATCCCAAAAACAAGACGACCTAGAAAGGTAAGCCGAACAACGAAAAAAAGTAAAGAGAATCCGAAGGGAGCGGAAACAAAAGTATATGGATAATAAAGTATAGCGTATTAAAGAAAATTGCAGGAAAAATGAAATAAAAAATTTTTACAAAGAGGTAAAATACATAAAATACATTAAAACTGGCCATCAGGGAAGAACGATGCATGTAAAAGAAACGTGATAATGGACAAAGACCAAATATGTAAAAGATGGAAAGAATATTTCGAAGAGATGCTATATGACGGAATGAACGGGCTAAATGCTAAGTGACTACTAACGAAAATTATAATGTCCCTTAACCTCAAATAGTAAGACAAGAAATATCAAAACCTGCAAGAGAAGAAATTAAAGAAATAATAAAAGATATAAAAACTCGATATAGCCTCGGGGAGAGCTGCATTGTGGCAAAGAACTTAAAATATGGAGAAGAGACTTTAGTAAATCAACTTGGTGCTCGCCATACTAATTAAAAAGTGGTTAGAAATATATGTAGAGAAAAATTTAGAAGAATACCATGGAGGATTTCAGAAAGATCAACAACTGATTAAATTTTTATGCTAAAACAAATCCTTATCAATTGCTACGTATACAAAATTTCAGCACAAGTACTTTTCATTGATTACAAAGCCGCCTACAATACAATAGACAGAAACAAATTAATAGAAACGCTAAGCGAATTTCAAGTGCCAGAAAAAATAGTAAGCTTGATTAAAATGAGAATTAGAAAAACCATTTGTGTTGTGAAATTAAACGGTACAGTCTCAGAAGAATTCGAAGTAAAAAAAGGTGTTTAGAAAAAACAAGGAGAACCCATGCTTAGAATACACTGATGATGTAGTTCTTATTGCAAGAAATTCGGGACATCAAAAAAGACTAATTCGGGAAAGCTCCAAAATGAGTGAAAATTAATATTGGTAAATTGAAGTACATGGTAATTCCTAGCAAAAAAAGAATAAACACCAGGATATTCTTTAAATTGGAGGAGGAGAATGAATCAGTTGTATAATTGGAGAAGGTGGATTAATATATGTACTTAGGTACTCTTATTAATCAGACATGTAAAGAAGAAACTAAAATCAACCAGAGACTGACCTAGAGCAAAAGGTATGCTGGAGGCATGAGCATAATAATTAAAGCCAAAGATATATCTCATAAAAATAGGTAAAGAAATAATAATAAGACTTACTCACAATCAATTTAATTTAACAATCTGACGACCGGTTTCGCTTTCTACAATTTGCAAAGCATCTTCAGGTCTAGATACAAAGTTAAACTAATGCTGCAATAAAATAAACCCAATTAGGGTGGTGTCTCATAAAGATAAAATAAACAAATAAGTTAGTTCATACAAATTATAGTAATTATGCCAATATTACATGTCTGTGGTTTTCAAAATGAATAAATTTGAATATATAAAAGGTATTAACAGACAAGGTAAGACCCACAATTGGTATAAAGTAGCAATATTATACTGTAATAAATTAATAAATGAGCAAATAAATAAAACAAAACAAACATTACTTACATGCCGGTACTCTATTAATTGATGGATGGTAGGTCATGGTTGCAAAAATCATGTATTGTTGATTGGAGAACTTTAATGTGCTATTGCAGTTGTTTTGACAATAAACGGGAAGTTCTTGAGGAGAACAGATTTGATCCAATGAATTAGAGATAGGTATATTGTGGTTGTTTGTAAGATGAAAGTGATGTTCTTTACTATTGTATTATTTAAATTATTTACACTTATATCAGAGATATATTTTTTGGAATGTGTGTTATTTATTGAGTACTTATGTAATGAAGGAGACAGTTTTATGACAATGAATAAGAGTAGCTGTACCGATTGTGTGGTTGTGCAATTATTTTGACTTGTAATTATCAAGTCTTCTGGCAAAATTAATAAATTATTGTAAAGTCAACTACGTAAAAGGTATATAAAGAGTATATAAAATTATTATAAATTAAGACGATCAGGGACAAATTAAACACACATTAACAGGAACAGAAACACTAAATGACGGGACAAACATTGAATTTAAAACTTAAACTTGGGGATGGAAGAAACTGTAAGCAATACATCTCACTGTTGGAAGAAATGAGTTTTTTTCATATTTAATCTATTAGATTTAAGAGGTAAATTTGACATATGTAGGTTGAAGTGTGACAGTTCTTCTTCTATTATTAAATACTGTAAGTTTAGTTATTCAGTCTTATGGAGTATGTTGATATTAATGAATGTATCAAAATTTGTTTTAATTTTGAAATCAAAAGTAAATTGATGTGTTTAATATTGGCATACTTTAACAATTTTAATTAATAAGTTTCAAATTCAAAAAATTTTTTAAAGTAACAATGTGAATAATTGAAATACATCATATGTTATAACTAACCAATTTTAGGCTAAATATTTCAGAACAAATTAAAATGATTATTTTAGTAAATACAAACAAGTGTACTTGTAATTGAAAGGTATAACAAATTTAAAATTGCCTGAAAATTTTTTTATTTGAAATAATTGTCGGTCTGAGCTATCTATTATGGTGTATAAACGTTTCTTAAAATATTTAATTTAAATTATAATAATTAATAATTAAATAAAGTAGTAATTGGGTGAATATTGATGATTATTCAAATTTTGAATTCGAGTAATTGACTGACTTAAGTCTTGAATAATTAGTTGGCAATACTAATTTATGACAATTGGAACCGGAAATTGATTCCATCCCCGGGCAGCAGGTACACATTTAAACCGGTGTAAAATATACTTTTATTTCAATTCTTTGTATCATATGAACAGACCTTCCTCAAACCGACAAGAACACTGGTGAGTTTTTACAGTAGTTTTAGTAAGAATTTTTAAAATTTTATTAAAAATAATATCTGTTTTTGAAAGGTAATATTTCTATTTAAATTTTAAATCTATACAGGATTATGAATAGTATAGATATATGTAATCCGAACTGCTAGTCTGAACAATTTTCCAGTCATGTTGGAAATCCATAAACCACGTGTTGAGTTTGAAATGAAATATGTTGTAAATTAAGTATTTGTCTAAACCAGATGGAATGCAATAATAATTATTATGGGTTAAATAAGTTGAGGTACCATACCAGTTCATTACTGATGTTTAATTTAGTTTTAGGAAAATTTATTTTTATTGGTGATATGTTGAAGAAAAGAAAAGAGGAGAAATTCTGTGAACAAGAAATTCGATCCATCATGGTGTGCTGGATTTTAATTTTATGTTGAAGATTTAAAACAATCTGAGAAGTATATCAAAACTATATATCAGATGTATTTGATTAAATGGGTTCTGGGACAAATTGTTGTTTCTATGGTATTGAAGTTACTACAAAGTATTGTGTGATGTTAATGGAAAATATATGGAAGATTAATATGATAAGTTGATGTTTGTGGTAACAATTCTCTAAGTATATGGATCTACTGTAGAAACGAGAAATGGAGTAGGTTCAGATACTATTATTTATATCGAAAAAATTATTTTATAATAATACTGAGTATACTGGTGTGTATTCTAATTCTAATTGTGCATTAAGTGTAACTGTTGTTTGATTTTTTAATGATTTTAATATTTCTAAATGTTCTAGGTTATTTAATAAGGAGCCTTTATTACAAGTATGAAGGATTGTGAAATCTGTTTGAGGATCAAAGATGTGGTTTGTTCGACGGATATGTTGGGAGAAATGTGATTGACCTGATGTTGGACGTTCTATATATCTAAGATGTTCCCCTAGTCTGGTATTGAAGGATCTAAAGGTTCTACCGATGTAACATGCATTGCAGGTATGGCAGCTCAACTTATACACTCCGCTATACTCAAGTGAGTTACGTTTGTCCTTGTTATTTAAGAAAGTCAATCCTAAATTTGAGGCAGTTTTAAATGAGATATTTATGTGGTCATCGAATACTTTTGCAATCTTATAGGAAAGTTCACCTATGTATGTTAAAGATCGGTAAGATTTTTGTTCCACTATTTCATTAAACTGTTGTGTGTATACTTGATGTTCTAGCATTCTATTTGTCTTTTTATGCAAAATTTTATTCACTAGATTAGTGGAATAACCATTGTTCAAAGCTATTTGTTTTATAATTTGTAACTCTTTGTTA